TAGTTTCTCAAAAAATATGTTACCTATTTTTCCCATTCAGTAATAATCTTTCTGTCAATATTTTATGTTAAATATTCTTAAACAAGATTCTTTTTTAGTTCTATTTGCTATTTCGTGAAGACGAAATGCAAAAAAAAAAAAAAGAAAGAAAGAAAAAAAAAGCAGTTTTTAAATCCTTGGACCCATAAATTTGTGAATCTTTGGGAAACTGATTAAGGGGATGAAGGCACAACACACTCATCTATAAACCTCATCCCAGGTCGCCCGCTCCCTCTTCCAAATCAACTAAATGTTCTTTCTCCCTTCAAATGTTTCCATTCAATTGCTCTTGATTCCGAGTGTGTGGGGACATCCTAAAACAAGATTCCGCCCAAATCCAGAGCAGCTGGGAGCCAAGGCTCACTTCATTTGAAGAGGTCTGCTGTGACTTGGGAGGAGTGTAGCCTTTAGAGGGAGGCGGATCTGGGTTCAAGTCTCACTTCTCCCACGTCTGACTGCGTCATCCCCAGCAAGATGTGCAGACTTGCTCAGTCTGTTTTTTTCAATTGTGCCGTGGGTCATACACCCCTCTTCTTAGCGCTGGCAAAGACTCGGTCACACTGAGCTAATGAAGCTTAAGCTCCAGGGCCGCTCACTGCCTGGGTCTCTTTAAGACCCTGGACCTAATTCTGTATTTGTACTTTTTATTCCTTTCCTTAAATGGACTTCCCTACTTGAATAAAATCCAGGCCTCACAAATCTACTTTTGTACAACAATTAAACAGGATGAGAAATATGAGATAACTGGCCCATCGCAATCATTGAATAAATGGTATTACTGTCGCCAGACTTGCAGGCCTTATCTTGGGCCTTGCATTAAGTAAATGCAGAGAATTCTACCACATGATGGTATTACTTGCAAGCTATACAAAGTTTAACTCATCCCGAAACATGTCACCACAAGCTGCTGAGATGCCTTGACAAACCTCTAGGGACACATTTGGTTTCAGCCTTAATATCCAATGTGTAACTATATTTGGGTATATTAGGGAGTTAGGCTGCGAGTGAGCGAATCACCAGGACGGGTCACCATAAATGTCAAGGAAGAAACATAAAAGTCAAGGGCAAGGACGCCATCTGCAAGTGTCCCAGGGGAAGGCCACATCATGGAGGGGATGGGGAGGGAATGAACAAGAGCCAAGGCTGATGCTTTCCGTGTGCTCAGTGTGATGCTGTTGATTCACAATGTGTTCTGTCATCCATTCATATCAGAACCACCTAAAGAACCTCAATGAAAACATAACCTCCTTGGCCCGACCTGAGCCTGCTAAACCAGGGCCTCTGGAGGTGGGGGTCCAGGATTCCACTTTGTTTAACATGCTACCCCACCCGAGTGATTCTGAATTCCGGTGAGTTTAAGAACCCCTGCTTACAGGTTGAACCTGAAATAAACTGATGAGACATTTTTCAGTATTCCATATACGTTCCTGCCTGGCTCAGAAGATGACCAATTTTCTACTGACAGTAAACCCTTCTCTTCCACATAAGAGATGAGGGCCTGGTCTGTCCGTTTTCTTTCTTAATGCGTCTACCACAACTGTAGATAAAGAGCATGCCATTCAGAAGTGTATCAGAATTTCTGCAAGATCGGGTATCTCTTTCTTTATACACGGCGGATAAGATGGTTTAACGTGAGCTGCAATGTGGATCCACTGAACGAAGGGAGACGATCCTACCGAAGAAGGTGGATTACCAGCCATGAAAGCCTGAGACGAGGTTGCTAGTGAAAAGACGAAATGCTCGCTCTCTGATTCTGACACATTCGAACTTGTCAATAATCTGAACAAAGATCTAGAAGCATGCTTAGAGGGTGCAAAACTGTGAAGGTGTTTGAAATGCCCAGAAAGGGATCATGAGGGAGCTACAAAGTAGCTCCAACAGGCAGGAATGAGAGCCGGAAAGAGACAGGATCATGGAACTGAGTGAGAAGAAAACCAGTGTTGCTTCAGGAAATGTCACGGAGGTCTCAGGTTTTGTTTTGTCTCTGAGCTAACACTGTCAGTGCTGTTACTGCCACTCTGATGCATGCATTTTTCCTTTTCATTTCAGTTCTTAGAATAGTTTCACTCTCTTCTACGCTGTTCAAATGCTACGTTTGGGAACGGATTCTTTTCCGGATGACATTTTAAGAGGAGACACCATCGAATGACCACGCAATCGAAAGGGGATCGCTAAGGTGGCGAGGAGTCTTAACTAACGTCTCATCCATATGACAGCCTCGTCTTCAAGGGATGGAGGGTCCGTAGCCGTACTCCGTTAGTGCTAGACAAAACCACGAGACCGGGACAGCTGTGAGACGGCGTACTAACTGTAAAACAGCAGCAACGAAGGAAATCCTGAAACGCCTTCAACAATGCAGTGGATCATCCGGGATGGAAGTGAGCTTCTCGTTGCGAAGGTAACCAAGCACAGTGTAAATGATGAGCCCTTTCAGAACTACTACAAAATGGATTTTCTCTACTGATTTTTTTTTTTTTTTTTTGAGAGGAGTGTGGATAAATGAGGTGCTTTAAACGCCACAGAGATGTCTACGATTCGTCTTAGCTGGCTCAGGGTTTTGGCAAAAAGTAACTAGGAGGAGAAGGAAAAACCAAAAGGGGCGGATAGATATTTGGTAAATGTGGATGAGGCACGTACGAAGCGCCAGATGCTCTGCTGGGCACTGGAGATGCGGCAGGAAAGCAAACCCCGCATCAACCCCTACTCTCACGGGGCTTCTAGTCTACTGAGAGACAATTACGCCAGGGGGCTGGTCCTTTCCTCCTGCTATGAGAATGAGGAATAACGTAAACGGAAGCATAACTGTGCCAAGCAGGACTTATTTGGATGGATACATTCAGTCTAAATATATCCCAAGTTTGCTTATCAATGAAATCTGACCCATAGTAAGGTTTTCTCCAAAGCACGGCAGTCTCCTCATTTTGAGGGCGCATTTTCGGGCCCCATCCCCCTTTAAACATCCCCAAATGACTCTCTGCCTCTATCAATGTTGGCTTCTTCACAGGAGGCCACCACCTACCAGATGTTACATCCGTCACTTTAAACGAGTTCCCCTTGACATACTGATTATTTCGGGTTTTTTTGTCTTTTAGCCAGAACCTCCTTAATGTATTTTCTTGGTTCTCTCAGTGCGTGCAGGGTTGACGGTTCTAGGACTGCAAGATTCTCTCTCTCACGCGCTGTTTGCGGTCTCCAACTAAGCGAGCTTCTTGAACCCTGGCTCTGTTCACCTCGCTTTAGGAGAACTTCCGACACTTCCCCAAACCCCAATTCCAGTACTGTTTCAATTTACTTTTGAAACTTCTAAGGGAGACTGTCTCTTCACGGATCACAGGCTCCTCCGCCAGTGAAGGGCTCAGGTGCTGAGTCCTACATAATCAGATAAACCCCCTACTTCCTCTCTGCTTTTCTTTCTGGTTTCTGCCTGATTCTGTTCAACTCCAGGAATCAAGCTGTTGGGCTCTGAAGGTCAACTGTGAAGGTGTTTGAGTTAATAACCTCGCCAAGCCACTCTACACTGACCCCTAGCCTCCCAGTGCACTCATATTTCTCCCCTTGGAATGAGATGCTCAGTCATCTGCCAGGGGACCTCGCCCAGACGGTCTCTGACTTGAACTATCTGAGGGCTCTTTACCAAGCTGTTAGGGGAGACTAACAGCCCACATAGCTCATGCTACATAAGTCACTCTTGGTTCAGGAAGGCTGCTGCATTCTTGCCAACCAATCAAACCAATACCTCAATCACAGAAGATTAATGTCCCTTTGCTTCTATCTTTGAAAGGGAAAAATAGCTAATGTGATTCTCTCCTTCATAAAGGCCTCTATGCAGTAAGGCCTGGGATTAAATTATACAATCATGACATCTATCTGTTTGAAAGCCTGTCACTCTTATGCTACATTTGCCAACTTGTCCCTTTATCAGAGGGGCTCAATACTGTGAGATGTGGAAAAGGGAGCAGTATGATGCGGGGTAATATAATTCTAAATACCATCAAGGCCATAAAATGGGGAGTAAGTGATAAATAATTTATATTTATCAGAATGACAGACTCTTATTACAAGTTCAGCAATATGATATCCTCCCGTACAGCACAGACATGGACGGGGAAAGAGATCAGAATTTCAATAGTTTGCTAGGATTGGACTGAATTCCTCTTTAAAGGCCTATGAACCTGGTATGAACCTCATGATATTTTTCTCACCAGTCCCTAGAAAAGAGAGGGCTAGTCTTCTCACAAGACAGTCAGCCGGCAGAACAAAGAAATCCAATTCAACAAGATAATGTGGAAAAGATAAGAAAACGGGGCAATAATAAACAGGGCTAATGCGTTATCGTCGCTTCTAATCTTTTCTTCATTCCAACTCTACCAGCATAAAGCAGAGATGTCCATTCATTCCTTTATTCTTAATTCATTTCTTCATTCATTCACTCACTGCCTTAAACGCCGGGACTGTGTAAGAGATTGTATTAGGAATTACGGATGATGCAACAAGGAGATACAACGCTCACCTTCAAGTAGTTTATCCTCCAACACCGCACCCTGGACTAAACTTTGGGAAGCATAACTCTAGCTGTAGAAAGAAAAAGTGAGCGTGTGCCTCAGCTGAACACAAATTACCTTTTTTTCACTCCCCTATATTGATGGTATCTGGCTAAATCAGAGTGGTTCCCCCTTGAAAATGTCTTCTTGGGACCAGGTTCCTGATTTGAAATGCAAACGTTCAAATCTTTTCATTTCTTAAGCAGTTTAATCAGAGCAAAGTCATTTCTCAAACGATCAATTAGACTTTAATACATTTTTTAGGACAGATGCAGAAATAGCCCATGATCTGAAAGGCATCTCTCTCGGAAAACAAACTCATCTCTACACACATGACCAAAACTCCAGGTCCTTCCCCTTTTTTTTTACTCTCATACATCAGCACAGTGTAAGATATACTTATTTTTAGTACAGGCATACCTCAAAGATATTGCCGGTTTGGTTCCAGACCAGTGAAATACGTCAAGTCTTGTAATAAAGTGAGTCGGAATCTTTTCGCTGCTGGAGGGTCTGGTGCTCAATTTGTAAAACACGCAACACCTGTGAAGCACAATGAAGCAGGGCTGAGGTACGCCTGTAAGGACTTGCGCACGTGCTTGATTAAAAACACCTTTTCTGTCTAAGGTCCGCTATCCTCTCTGAGCAAAGGAGTGGCAGCAGTTCAGCTGTGTATGCGACTCTTCTACCACCTGGCCAGCTTTTCTTTTAGGGTGGGCTCTAGAGATTATTTTTTGGTCCAAAGCGTTTATTTACTAAATTTACACTAAGCTCAGAATCCACTTTTTTGCAACATTTCCCCCCCATTGCTGAAGCTGCGCTCGAGATGGGAAGGCTGAAGGACATGGCAGCGGCCGCTAGCTACCAAATTTCAGTGACTGTGAGCAGAGGTGCTGGGTTGGTCCCCTTCCTTCCAGCAGTGACACTGGGGGCTTTGGGCCACATGAAAGAAGAGAGTAGCGCTTCACCACCATAATAGCTTTCAGAAGAACCCACCCTCCACCCCCACCCGCACCCCCAACCCCACACTCACATCCTACCTCATTCCCCGCCGGAACATAACCTTGATATTGAATTAGGAAGTGAATTAGCAAATTTCTCAAAAGCATCCAGCACACCAAGCTCTTCTTTGCCTCCAGGGCTGGGAATGGCCTTTCCTTCCCCAACCCTCTCCTGCCTCCAAAGCCCTAACGTATCTTTCAAAACGCAGTTCGGGAAGCAACTCCCACGCTGTTTTCTACATCCCAGGCCACCTCAGCGGAATCGACTCCTTCCCACAGCGAGCTTCTCAATGCAGCTGCAACGACGTACACCATTCTCTTACAGCCCAGGAGACGGCCTAAAACCCAGGCGCCCCAGGCCCGCCGGCCTCGCGGAGGCGGGGCGGTGGGGAGGACCCGTTTCTTGTTTTTTCATCTTCCGGGGCTGCGTGCATTTCCTGGCACCCGGCCCCGCCCTCAGACCCAGCTGATTTGTGCTTCCCTCACGTGTCCCTCCGCATCACCAACTCGTCTGCCTTCTTCATTCCCTTACTGGGACCCTTCAGATTACACCAGGCCCACCAGGGTGGCTCAGGTTAATCTCCCCATCTCCTGAGAGCCTTCAATTAATCACCTCTGCAGAGTGCCCCCTGCCTACAAGGTGGCACACTCACAGGTTCTGGGGATAAAGACAGACACCTCTTTGGGAAGGGAACATTATTCTATTACACCTCCTTCAGAAGCACCACTCTCCTGTTTCAAATGGCCATGTCAGGCGCATAACACTTGGGGACATTTTGTTTATAAAGGTCTCCCTAACAGGCTATTGTCTCCTTGGGTCTTTACATTGTTTCTCCAGCGCCTGGAATGTGCTTGTTACTTAGCAGTTGTTCAATAAATCGAACTGAATGTTTGTAGGAAAGAAACTCAGGGAA